GTTGCAAGATCAAGCTAACAATCGATTAGCCACTGCAACACTTGCAAAGAGCTCTCCGGCTCCACGTACACGCTCAATCAGATCATCCCCAAGAAAGCACTCAAGATCACCAAGGGCGATGATCTAGGCAAATACACATACAAGGGTGACTCTGGAAAGAGCGTTCATTGCGTATGTCATGCCACGGACATCCATTAATATCAGTATTAGAGCATCTACTAATAATTCCTCAGTTTTACTGCAAGAACTGCACCTCGCACGTGTACCATGAGCAAGAGGCCCTCGGCCCCGACAGCATTGTCTTGAGGACAGGATTGTTGGACGAAGGTGTCAAGAACTTCAAGCCTGGTGCGGAGATCTTTGGCAAGGACCGTCTATCGTGGGAGAAGGAGGTCGCGCAGACGTTCGAGGTTATGCCGCCTTCGTAGACAGACATATTCGATAGCATACATGTACGAATATCTCATCATAGTCATCACGGCTTTCAGAATGTTCGCCACAATTGGAACAAGGTGTCTTTCGCCGTGAGACATGTCATTCTAGATTGGATGCGTATATAACATTATATCTTATCCCAACTTAGTCAGAAAGCGGCGGGAAACTCCTCAAGAAGTGGCTCGGGCACTCGTAGCCGCCCGGGTTGTGGTCCAAGTACAATTGGTGGTACTGTTCCGCATCCCACCATTTCCCTGCAGGAAGGATCTCTGTTGCGACGCTTCCCTTCCACCACTGCTTGTTCACCTTGTCGGTAACGTCTCGCGCAATCTTCTCCTGCTCGGCATCGTGGTAAAAGATGGCGGATCGGTATTGGCTACCAACGTCTGGACCTTGACGGTTGGAGGTGGTGGGATCGTGCATCTTGTAGAAGAATTCGAGGAGGGAACGGTAGGTTACTTTTTCGGGGTCGTACACGACTTGGAGGGCTTCGGCGTCTGGGTTACAAGTCAGCTAATGACCAGAGATCACGCCACGCCTCGTGGCGCAACAAAAGCGAGGAATACGTACGACCAGTGCGTCCGCTGCATACCGCCCTGTACCCTGGGTTGTCTGTGTCACCACCGATGTATCCGACCCTCGCATCGTACAAGCCCTTTCCCTTGTACTCTCTCCGGTACATGTGCTCGACACCCCAGAAACATCCGGCAGCAACAGTGGCGGTTTGCGCGCCCGAAGGCACGTTCATGGGTTGCGCGGGCGCATTCGACATACTGCTGAAGGGGCGAAAGAATTTAGTCAGAAAGGACATGGACAGGTAAGACGTGATGACAAAAATGAAGAGCGTGAGGAGCTTCAGTTTGGTAGTAGAAAAGTGTGTGATAAGAGGGAGAGGTTTACTTTGCTGGTGAGTTATTATGTATCGCAAGTTTGCCGCTTCGATTGGGTAAAGGGCAATGGACCGCGGCGATGATGCCATCATTTGGCGTGACAAATCGAAGGGTCCACGGCCACGCTTCAGCCACATGGGTGGCGGCGGGGTCGCTCCTTCGCGAAGATGGGAACGTCCGACTCGGGCATCTTCCTGATCACATATTCCCACACATTACGAACTTCCTGAACAGCAGTGCTCGCTCTCTTTAACGCGTCGCAGTGTTGTTTTATCTGACGAGATTCGCGTGCCGCCGTTCTGCCCGCCCCGCTACGTGTCTTTACCCGGACAAGTCGCGGTCGATGTCTCTGCAGCCTTTCGGCATCAACACAGGCTCGAATCCTCCAGCACTGCTCTTTGCATGATGTCCTGCTTCTTTGCTACTTGATCCATGGCTGTAGCGTTGCCTGTTCGAAGGACGCGCTCTTGGAAATTTCGGCTATGTCCCAGCGGACCTATCCTACGCTTTCGGGAAAACACTGCGCAGTAGGCTGGAGTGACTCGGGACGTATAAGCGGCGGGACCGGGACGTGGATTCTATTACACTCGCGTTAGTGTCATGGAGAGGTCTCTTCGTTCCCTCTCTTGTAGTACCGGACGCCCTCTCAGCTCATAGTTGCACGTACAGCTTTACGAATGTCGTGTATCAAGCATACACAGTCAGCTTGCTGTTTTCGCACTCAACTGACAGTCCCATAGTCCTACCCTCCAAGTCAGGTCCGGCTGACAGCTTTGGTCGAATCACCCCGACACGATGCGCGTAATTAATTCTCAATCTATTTCGCCTGAAAGCCTTGTACCGGTTACATCCCGCGTTGCTGAACCGGCAGTAGTTGAATCTAGGCTCATACGATGCATCCTTGGTCGTGGCATCGTTCCGAGTCACCACGTGCGTCGAACAGCTGTTTGATGCATGCACTTGACTAACTCTTCTAAGATTATTTTTAGATGCATCTCTAGACCTCACATCTGCAAGGGCAGCAAATCGCGTTCGCTAAAATTGATCAAGGCAGGGCCTCGAGCACCGATGGAGCGACAAGCTTTAATATAAGGTTAATCTACGCGCCAAGAACTCCTCACTTCTCCAGATCTTTTGAATTGGACGTCCACGATACCCTCGCAGTACTATGCCGCTCGTTCCAGGCAGGGAAACTATTTTCAGTCTTCGCTTCCGCACATGTTCCGCTGCTGCATTACATACAGGATCTGTAGATGAAAGACAATATCCGGATGAGCTTGTTTGCTTCTCGGTCAGCTTCGTGGACTGCCTATACCCAGCATCCAGGCCCGGCGTTTCTATTCTGAGTTCTGCACCCTAGGCAAATACGCTCGACTCATTTCGCTTTCATATCTACATCCACTGGACTGGCCAAAATCTGTGCGAGGAAACGGCTCAAACCCACAGCGACTCGCTTGTGCAAAAAGACTTTGGTACCCTAGCCGTCATCTGATATGAAATGGCCACGGTATACCTCGTAGACCGCGAGTCTGGGTTTCGTATTCGCTATCAAGAGAATCTATATGCCCACGCGACGGATGTGCTTTTACTTTCAGCAGCTGTACCGCCGGCACTCGGTTTCCGGGTAGGTTGCATACGGCGCCACCAAGTTGTGCAAGAATTCGTGATACTCGCATGTCAGCAAACCTCGCCAAAAGACATTGGCATTGGTGATGCCGAGAGTTCCACGCATACTGCACCACCTGGTGGCGCAGACGTACGATATTCAAAGAGCCGCCACGATTCAGGGTTCAATCTCCTCGCGCCCGGAAAGCTCAAATGAAGATGCTCCGTTGCTGTGATTCGGGTTAGGATTGCAGCTGGAAGCGAGATGCACGGCGGAACGAGACTATCACATACCCCAGATACCGACACTTAGCCTGGAGGCTGGCTCAGAATGTATCCACACGGAACAATACTTCAGCTAAGCGGACAACACGAACTCAGCTGAGCAACTTCTGCGATTCTGGACCTATGAGCACGAGCGGGCCGCCGGTCCAATCGTACTCGATAGTGCCATTGGCACTTGGCAGCTGTTATCGTGGTCGGACTGTAGATATCGCCCAAGATGGTGTTGCCGCGGTAGTGGTTAAGACAATCAAAGGTAAAGGGCTGGCGCCGAGGGACTGGTATATAACCTGGTCCATATTCTCTTCCATGATCCTCATCCAGCTTCTACTCTCGGTCTCATCTACCACATCATCAGCTCTCCATCTAGCCTTCTCCGAAGACCATCTTTCCAAACTATCAACATGAAGTGGCTCCTTGCTCTCCTTCCCCTCGCGGCAGCAGCCCCTACGTTCCCCAATGTCGAGCTTGGTGATGCCCCACCACCCGGTCAGGTACGAGAAGCTCAGATGGAAATTTCCGAAACGATCAACTCACGCAACACAGGTCAAGATTCGCGGTGTCAGCTATGGAGGAACTGGTTGCCCGCAAGGCACCATGAGCTCCCAGATCAACAGTGACAGGACTGTCATGACGCTCATCTTCGACGCGTACATCGCCTCGATCGGCCCCGGCATCGCCGTTACTGAGCAGCGCAAGAACTGCCAGCTGAACGTCGACATTGAGTACCCAGGAGGCTTCCAGTACTCCATTCTGTCCGCCGACTACCGTGGCTACTCTGCCATCCAGAAGGGTGTCTCTGGCACTCTCAAGTCTACCTACTACTTCTCCGGAGACACTGCTCAGGTAAGATCTGTTCAAGTTCTAATGGCGTGGACCAGATATGCTGATACCCGAAATAGACCTCGACTGAGTACAAGTTTGACGGGCCAACAAACGGCGACTACCTCAAGCACGACGAGGCGGACAGCACCTCGGTTGTATGGGCGCCATGCGGCACCAACGGCATGCTCAACATCAACTCGCAGGTCCGCCTGACCAGCAGCAACGCCAGCGCCACTGGCCTCCTCACCACTGACTCTACCGATCTCAAATTCACCCAAGTCGTGTACGTGCAGTGGCAGAAGTGCACACCGCCCAAGCAGTAGAAACTGATTGCGGTTGATGTAGGCCGAGACATTGGATCAGCTGGATTAGTGTGAACGGGCCATGGGTGGTGCGGGTTGAGGACTTGAGGTGGAGGCGGTGTTAGTCGAGGAATGGAATTTACGAAGATATGCCGGACGCATGTTTGATGTTTGCATGATAGTTGAATCCTTTTATGAGATGCGCATCTCTCATTTCACTTTCCACATGCTGTGATGCTCCACTTGCCCCTTTACGCAACTCACGACAAGAGGAAGGAGCGGATTGGGCTTACCAAACAAGGAGGATAATGGTGGGTACTCTTCTGGGATCGCACAGTCGGCCAAATTCGCATTCATGGTAACAAAACAGTCGGATGCGCCCGTTGGCAGGACAGATGTGATGTGGCGTGTGGTGTCGCAGCCACGTCGGAAATTGTGGGGATAAGAGGACATTCTTGGCGGCAGGGTCGTGGTTGCCGCATTTAGATCCCTGTCTGTTTACCAGCGGCCGTGCGTCCCATAACAGAAGTTCCGGCTGGAACATCGTCATTGAGCACTCCAGCCCGCAACACCAAACCCTCGCTCGCGGCTGTTCCCCACGCTTTCAAAGGAGGCTGCGCAGTGCGATTGACCTGCTTTTTTTCATTTCTTGGGCGCAATCATGGCCGCCGCGGGCGCGTCTTCCATCTCCGTCACCGTACGAGTCCGCCCTTTCACTATCCGAGAGGCAGCCCAAGTCACGAGGAACGATGACCAAACGCTGTTCCTCGGAGACGGTTCGCTGGCGGGCTTGCCAGCGCCGAAGCTCCACAAGGGCATCCGGCCTGTCATCAAGGTCATGGACGAGAAGTGCCTGTATGGGATGTCACGTATCATTTCAAGGCATGAGGGCTGACTTGTACCAGAATCTTCGACCCCCCAGAAGATAACGCTGTTCAACGGTTTGGACGATCAACAATAGGACCCCAGGGCAAGCGATCAAAGGACCAGACATTCGCATTCGACCGCGTCTTCGACGACACTACCTCCCAGGGCGACGTATACGAAGCCACGACGAAGCCCCTGCTGGACAGTGTGCTGGATGGATACAATGCGACTGTATTTGCATATGGCGCCACAGGTTGCGGAAAGACACATACTATCACGTATGTTCATGTACACCGCTAGTTACTCGCAGGAGGACTAACCTTTCAACAGGGGAACGTCGCAGCAGCCCGGCATTATCTTTTTGACTATGCAAGAACTGTTCGAGAAGATCCAGGACATACAAGATGAAAAGGTCACCGAGATCACGCTCTCCTATCTGGAAATCTACAACGAGACAATTCGCGACTTGCTTGTAGAGGGCGGCAGTAAACAACCCCTGATGCTCCGCGAGGATGCCAACCAGGCTGTATCTGTCGCTGGTCTTTCCAGCCACCGACCACAGAGCGTAAGTAGGAGGGATACACTGCACGACAGGCGTCTAACAACCACAGGTCCAAGAAGTCATGGATATCATTGTCCGCGGCAACGAGTACCGAACCATGTCACCTACCGAAGCGAACGCTACCTCTTCCCGATCCCACGCCGTACTTCAAATCAACGTCTCCTCCAAGGACCGCAATGCCTCGGTCAACGAACCCCACACAATGGCTACCCTCAGCATCATCGACTTGGCAGGTAGTGAGCGCGCGAGCGCTACGAAGAACCGTGGAGAGCGTCTGACGGAGGGTGCCAACATCAACAAATCCCTACTCGCGCTGGGAAGCTGTATCAACGCCCTGTGTGATCCCCGAAAGCGAAACCACATCCCGTACCGCAACTCGAAACTCACGCGATTGCTCAAGTTCTCTCTTGGTGGAAACTGTAAAACTGTCATGATAGTCTGTGTTAGTCCGTCAAGCGCGCATTTCGATGAGACGCAGAACACCCTGCGGTACGCCAACCGAGCGAAGAACATCCAGACCAAGGTCACCAAGAACGTATACAATGTCAACCGCCACGTAAAGGACTACCTTGTCAAGATCGATGAGCAGAGACACTTGATTGAGGAGTTGATGAAAAAGCAGAAGGATTTCGAAGGAAGCGCCTTGGTCAAGTTTCAGAAGCAGAGCGAAAAGAAGGATGGCATCTTGCGAGACGCTGTGGTGCGCTTGCGCCAGGCTTATGCAGACTCCGAGCCCGACCGTCGGGATCGGCTGAATATGTCAAAGACCTTGAAGCTGGCCGAGAAGCGCATCTCGATGATTTCGGCATGGATCGCAGCATTCGATAACGTGAAGGATGTTCGCGAAAACGAGGAGATGCCCGCCCAAGTCACAGCAATGAGAGATACTGCAGTCGGAATATCCGCAGAACTTGAACAAACGCGACAACATTGCCATAGGCGATTGGAGCGTACCGTATGGACGAGCAAAATGGACACAGCGCTGCATGTTGGACTGAAGGGTCTGGCGGAGGTGGACGGCAACGCTGACGGCCATGATGCTGCCAACCTGACAAGAGAATACGAGCTCCTCAAAGCCAACGCGGATCGCGAACAACTTAATGCTCTGCTGGACATGGAAAAAGGCGGCGATGCTGCCATCGTCCAGGTGTTGGTACAGGCACACATCGAGACCGTCACAATCCTAAGTCAGATCACCCAAATGGATGAAGCCCAAGCAGTCGAAGCGGCGAGGAAGCTGCTTACGAAGATTATGAATTCTTGTACGAACGCGACTTCGCAGGTTATTCGGCCAGACGGTGGCCTGCCAGTCACGGAGTTCTTCGAGCCAAGCCACAGAGGCACACCAAAAAGGAGGAAGCCAGTGAACATTATGGAGCCGTCTCCCATGCGACCAATTGCTTTGCCAACACTGGCGGACGCGCCGCATCTTACATCCTCGCCAATGAAGTCATCACCACGCCGAAAATTGATGGCAGGAGCCAGAAAGAGCGTCCAGTTCTCGCCGATGAAGAAGAAGAAGTCTCCGTCAAAGACGAAGCGGGGGGTGCGCTGGAGGGACGACACCGAGAATGGTACACTTGCGGAATTCCAGAAAACACCAGAACACCTAGCAGGAACACCAACACATTCTTCCACCCCAGTGCCGGCACCGACTTACTCGACAGGCATCCCCATACCAAAATACGATGGAAGCGGTGGCTCTTCGCCTATCCCTACACCACCAAAAGCCTCCGTAGATTTGAAGGGCTCATCGCGCTTTGCGGTCGGTGCGCTGTCTAAGCGTTCGGACGGATCCCCCACATCTCGTTCCAACAACGCATATGGCTCGGATTCCGATGGTGCGTCGCCTCTCCGCGACATCTACAACAACGCTCGCACTTCCTCCTTGAGCAATGTAGAGAACGCCTCGTCGGGCCCCGCGCAAGAAGGAGACAGCGGCCACTCCAGTTCAGAGGGAGAGAAATGGACGCCATCGGACGCCCGACAAATCGGACACGCAATCAAGCGTCGTTCTTCCACAAACGGGGGATCTGTACCTGTGAACCGAGCGCATCGTCGTCGTAGTCCGACAGCAGCGACTATTGGTAGCCCGCCCAACGAGAACTCCCTTCTCTCCGCGGGTGCAGCACGTCGCATGGTCAAGTCTGTCCACGAGGCTGACTGGAAGAACAGCGTACTCAGCCCACGGGTTACGCCTATAATGAAAAGCGCTGTAAGGCGCACTACCTTGGCGAACGTTGGTGACGATCGACCTCGGGAAGCACCACCCAGCTTGAATGCGCGAGCACCTGTACGGATCACTAGTGGTTCTTCGTCCAGAGGTAGCCTCATGCCTAATTCTAAGAGCGTCTGGCGTTGATTTACCTCTTGCTAATTGGGGCATTAGGTGGTTGGAGACGCCACCGTTGGGGCTTTTAACGACTTTTTCGCTTTTCGTTGCTTACTAGTTGCATTCTGTTCGTTTTGGTCTGGCAACCTTTTGGCGCCAGGCTATTCTCTTGTGCATCTGTCTCATTCTCAAAACCTTGGAAAACTCTATCTAGAAGCATTAACGAAGGCTTGGGTCGGTGTTTGGGTAATCTCCCTGCCTATGGCAGTTGCTGGGGCGTATTCAGTTGCGATTGCATTGGGATGTACTTGTATCAATGTCTCGAGTATTGCGTAGTTTTCCTGTTACTAGCATCATTTCAACGTTTCACGATCATCTGTTTTGCTCAGCTTGGCTGATGAGTGTCTACTTTCAAGGAGCAATATCAACATGTCGGTACGACTTCTTAGGGTGACTAGAACCACTTGCCCACTCACCACGTGATAGAGCACGACATCCACCACAGCAACCGAGTCAAACTCAACCACCTTCACCAGTCTCCTCAGCCCTGCTACTTTCTATTTACTGCCATTCTGATTTGCTTTCCTCGAGCGCAAGTAAAGTTCAGGTGACTTGCCGTTTGTTCTGCAGAACCTGACGCACTCTCCTTCACTCCGACCCTAGCGCTGGGTCCGCTAGCATCATCAAGATGAGCATTGACCGCGCTATCCAACGCCCTTACGTAGCTCGCAGCGCTCACAACATCATAGGTAAATAAACCCCGGGTTTATCATTCAGTCCACTGACACCAACACAGCCAACATGCCACCGAAGCCGGTAACCCCAAAGGCCCCGAGCCGTCCCGCCGCCGCCCCCAAGAAGAAAGCCGACACGCCAAAGGATCCAACTTCTAGTAAGCCGGCCAAGAAGCTCAAGATTGCTCGGAACCGCAAGAACGACGGCAATGAAGATATTCTCGCTCCCAGAACGGATCCAAAAAGCTTCGTGCAATTACACAAAGGCGAAGGCCAGGTCGGCTCCTACGCCATGTTCGGCCGCCGGGACGAGTTCCGCAAGTTCGTCATGTCTAGCCTAGTGCTGAACGGCTATACCAATGCTTACACCGACCGCGGAACAATTAAAATGCGCCGGAGGGACGTATTAGAGTACATCCGTGACCAGGAGAAGGAAATGAAGTCCGAGGAAAGCCCCATCGACGTATACCCAAAGCAGAGCGACGATATTCACGCCGGTCAACGAAACCGTCCTTGCATGCGTACAGCTCTACAGACAGGTTGAGAGGGCTGCTTCCGGGCAATGGCCATTCGACCAAGAGCAGGAGAAGAAGGCTGTCAGCGCGTTCGAGGCCCTGGCAGGAACGCAAGCATCGGCTTTTGACCGTTCGGACGTGAGCGTGAAGAGCTTCGGCCCCTACCTCAAGTACGGAGAAAGCGACCTAGAGCCATACAGCCGCACGTTCAACGTGATCTTGTGTCTTTCGTGGTCATTGAGCCCCAAAGTATGGAGCAAAAGGTTCGAAAATGCCAAGTGGGACGAGGAGGTCCGTTTTAGTACATCTCACGTCCCGCATTGGATGCGAGAGCGAGACGGCACAAAGAAGACCGCCAAAGCCCCAGACCAAGCAACAAATACATCCGAGCCGCCCAAACCGATCCCGGAAGTGCTTGTATCTTGGAAGATGACTTCCCCTTTACCTAAACAACGAGAGCTCACGGAGTGGTTAACAGAAACCGGGCTGGTCGACAACATCCCAAGTGAACTCCCGACAACAATCAGGCCGACAGCAACCCGCGCAGAAGTCCGCGACATCATCCGAGCCAAGTTTCAATTGGATCAGAACCAGGCCCAGATCGCAACACTGCAGGTGAAGAGCTCGTTGTCGAACATCATGAAGCAAGATTGGAGCGCCGTGCAGAGAGAGCTATGGTCTGGAATCGATTCAAGCCCAGTTGTCGAGATGACCTTGATCCACGTTGTCTGATACATCCTCGTCGAAGTCACTAATAAGGAGGAACATTAGTAGGCGTGGCAGCGACAACAAGTTTTGTACCTAATAGAGTATTAGCTTACAAGTCCATGTATTCTGTTATAGTCTATACGTGCTTACTATATAACAAGGATGATAAGCCTGTATACCTTAAAGCCTACTATACAACTTCTTTTGTAACTGTAATCCTAGTTGAGATACTCCTGGCACACGTAGTGCACGTAGTGCACGTAAAATAAGACTCACCGGCTATCATGTAGGCGGTACGTCCAGCATCGTTTCCACGTTTTACGATCACCTCTTATGCTCAACTGTGTGAGAAAAATGATGACATCTACCATCTCCTAGGTTTCATTGCATTGCTCATGTCTCCATCCTTACAACTTCTATTTCTCATCTCCAATCTTGAAGACATACTTGACTCCACTGGCCTTGCCATCCCTCAGATTCTTCATACCCGTCTCCACTCCTTCCAAGCCACCAGGAATAACCTCATGCGGATGCGGCTTGAACCAGCCCTCAGCCAACCCCCTCGCCATATACCGGAACATGATGAACGCATAATCCGCATCTTCCTTGTGCGCCGAGCCCACCATCGTCTGAGTCTGCTGCACAGTCTCGGGAATACCTTCGTACGTCTTACCCGGCAGAACAAGCGTGAGCTTGCCCGTGGGCTCTAGCACCTGCACAATGTTTGTGTAGGAGTTGTGTTCCGACACGGCGTCATACGCGTACTGCAATTTCTGTCCCTTGAGCGCGTCTTTAATGCCCTTTACAACCGCTTCATCACCCTTTCGGTAATCAACGATTGTGTCGCCCTTTGAGCGGTCGATGAGTCCCTCGACGAACTTTTCTCCTCTTCCTGCTACGGCGATGATGGGGTGGATGTTTGCGCGTGATGCTAGTTTAATCGCGTAAGCGCCCACTGCACTCGCACCACCGTACACAACAAGCGGTGTGGGTTCCTGCGCGGGAGTCCACGGGTCAGGCAGACCCATGCGTTGGTGCAGTCCGATGGCTGCGGTCATAGCGGCGAGAGGCAGGGTCGCTGCTTGCTCGAAGGACACGGAAGATGGGATGTGGAAGGTGGTGTGGGCCCAGCCTACTGCGTACTCGGCGAAGGAACCACCCGGTGTCATCATCTCGTGGAAGGAAGCGACGCGGTCTCCGGGCTTGAACTCATAGACGTTGGCGCCGACGCTGTGGACGTAGCCGGCGATATCGTCACCGGTGTTGAAGTTGGGCTTCATGTCGTAGGCGGGGATTTTCCTGGAAGATGTGTTAACAGAGGATCGATTGGAAGGAGAGATATTGGAGTGAGAGGGAGGTCACGTGAATACTATATCGTGCAAGTGCTTAGGTATAACGGGGACTTGGAAGTAGACATACCAGTCTTTGGGGTTACTACCAGAGTAGACGACCTTGATGACGACCTGGTTGGCCTGTGGCTCGGGGACGGCGACATCCTTGATGGTGACCGAAAGGTCTTTTGCTACTTGTGCTTCCTTCATCCTGACAATTCTTTCTTTTACAAGTCCTTTTTCAAAATGCGTAGGTGAATTATGATAGATAAAGGATACAATGTGCCGTTAAGTTATGCAGGTAAAGATGCACCCCAAAACGAGGCGGGGCTCCCAAGCATCTTTATATCCAAACAACATGATCCTGAACATTCCACCGTCCGTCGTCCGACATCAGGAACGCGAATATGTGGAGCTGGGATTAATAATGACGAATGTGGGGTTTAGTGTGCTGGGTGGAGTAGATCTAGCCCTGGAGGTTGTTGGCGACGTCGATGATGCGACTTTTCGGTATTCGCTTTTGGTGCATAGCCGAGATTGGCCGGATGGGATGATCGGAAGCTGGGCACCTGGGGTTCCTCCGATATCATTAATCACAGACTGGCAACCCGTCTTGCATCTACTCTACGCACGTAACGTATTGTACTATGCCCTGGCATGGAACAAACTGCGCAGGTGAACAGTGAAGAAGACACACATGAAATCTTAAACTCGCTCGACGCCCGAGAATCGACCTGAAACCTAAGATCGAGCAAGTTATCTGTTTTGTAGCCAACAACTCTATAGCTTCCCCTGTATCTTGTTCCCCAACACCTCCTCCCTCCTCCGAACATCCACATCCCGTGGCCCTTCCTTCTTGAATTTCGTTGTAACAACCCATTCTCTGAGTCCCGCTCTTCCCTGTCCCTGGCTTTCGACCTCTGTCCCAGGCCGATCAAGCACCAAAACAGCGGTGTTCTTATCTACGCCGCCAACACCATCCTGCCCAGCCTGCCCATATTCTCCTTTGCCGAGAGCAAGTGGAGATATGCAAGCTTCAGCAAAAGACACTTCAGGCTTCCCGTCGTACATGCGCGGCTTTTGTAGGAAGTCAAGACACTTCTCGCGCTCGAGTTGTAGCTCCGCCAGACTCGGTGTGGGCGAAGAAGGCGACGTGACACTTGAAGCCAAGTACGGAGCCAGCAGCAAGGTAAGCAAGAACTGTGGTGGGAATAGGATAATCCTGTTTTGCCGCGCCAGGTCGATCCATTTGTTGGGTGGCAGGAAGCGGGCAGCGGTGTGCTCAATACCGCCATCGTGTGTAGGTTTGGGTATGACAATCTCGTCCTCCTCTTCCAGTCCCGAAGACGGTGGTGTACCCTTGGGCGCGGCGTGCTTCGTCGGCGATACGGAGCCAAGGGGCAGGAAGTAGATGTACATCTGCGTAGTAAAGCGTTTGGGCACGTTGGGAGGCGTTACCCAGCGGGTAAACGGAATCAGAGCTTCGGTATCAGGAAGTGCACCCCATTTCTCCAACAAGTCTCCAAACTTGACCTTCCCACCGTGTACATCTCTTCGGCCTTGTTCTCGCTCTTCGTCGCTTATCTCGGTGAACAGCTTCCCGGTCTTTTTGCTCTTGGCGAGTAAGATGCCGCATTCCTCGAAAGTCTCCCGTACGGCTGCCATACGATACGCGGGCCCATCCTGATGTCTTCCTGGGTGGTCTTCGCCGGGGATCTCGCCGTCGTGGGTTTTGGAAAGGGCGCCGCCGGGGAAGACGTGGGCAGATGCGAAACTAGAGGCTTTCGATACGCGGTGGAGGAGTAGGACCTGGTTCGTAGGGGAAATGAGCAGGACGCTATACGTGTTAGCATTTCGATATCGAGAGACATCGTGATAATCGCATACCTCGAGCTAGGCCGTGGAACCTGTGGTGCCTTTGACGCCTGCTTCGACGGCTTGTGGTCTGCTGGCGAAGACATGTTGCGCTTTTGGGAGCCGGTCTTGGAGAGTTGAGCAGAATTCGGATAGGAAGCAGTTCGTAGTGACGCTGACGATCGCGCACCGAGCTTCGCCTGCAATATGGAGTACGATGAGCTTGCGGCGACGGGGCGTGGAGAGCAATAAGAGCGTAACACAATTGATCTACCTTTAGCCAGGAGGAGAGCAGTGGAACTCAGCTTTGGCATATCCGGCGACGAAAGGAGCCGACAATGGCGGTCGGCGCGTCATGATGGCTTGCATGTGGTTGGTGTTGATGCGCGGGGAGGTGCCGAGGTTAGGAAGTAGCTTGAGCAGTGACAGGGTGCCCAAGAGTCGACACACCGTCAGAACTTCGGCAGCGCTTCGCGTCACTCAACAGAAGACATTTCTTGAGTTTGATCGTAAATGAACATAGTTCGTGGTATCATTGCTTTTGTCCTATCCATTGCTCCATAATAAGAACATAAATCGTCTTCGTGTCGCATGTCTAATGAGGGAACCTAGCAAACCAGCCAACCACCCACTAACGCCCTCCCAATGCATTCCGTATATCATCTTCAATCGTCTATGAGTAGAGCTTTTTGTCGAAGCTGTGCAGACCGTGCACGTTACCCTCAGCCTGTGCACTAGCAGTGCGCAACTCGAACCTGACGGTGCCGTTCGCAACACCCTCGTGAAGCTCGGTAAGGCTCTTGATGCCAATGTCCTGTAGCGAGTGCTGAACACCAGCCATAAGGTAGGGCACGAACTTGGTGATCGAGCCACGGTCCTGGACGGATCCAGACACACCTTGGGCAACCAGCACGCGGTCACCCTCAGAGAAGTAGCGCGCGGTACCAGCGTTGCTGGCCTTGGAGTCGGCAGCGCCAGCACCGGCCTTCTTGTCCTCCATGGCGGCGATACTACCCATACCACGGTAGGCCTTGACGAGCTGACCATCGCGGCTAACAAAGTACTCACCAGGAGACTCAGTGGTACCGGCGAGGAGACCTCCCATCATGACGGCTGATGCACCCATGGCAAGACCCTTGACGATGTGTCCTACGTTCTGAATACCGCCATCTGCGATGCAAGGCACGCCGAAGCGCGATGCGAAAGAGGTGACATTGTACACCGAAGTGGCCTGTGGCCTTCCGACAGCCATGACTTCTTGTGTAATGCAAGCACTTCCGCTACCCATGCCGATACGGAGGCCGTCAACACCGGCGGCGATGAGACCAGCAGCCTGCTCGCGAGTGACGACGTTTCCGCCAATCACGTCGAGCTGGGAGTACTTCTCCTTGATGTACTTGATCATCTCGATCTGGTACATGCTGTTTCCTTGACTGCTGTCGAGGATGACGATGTCGAGACCGGCATCGACGAGCTTCTGCAGACGGATCTTGTCCTCTGGTCGGGTGCCGATGGCAGCCGCGGCAATCAGCTGCTTGGAGTGTGGGAGCTTGGACGCAAGCGGGAAGTTGAGGTTCTTCATCAAGTCGGAGCGAGACAGGAGCGCAATCAGGTTGAAGCTCTCATCCACGATGGGAAGCTTTCCCTTCTTGGACTTGTTCAGAATGTCGTTGGCCTCCTTGAGCTCAACACCGTGGCGGGCGGTTACGAGGTCCGTGGACATGACTGCGGTGACCGGATCGTCCAGCTTGTCATGGAACTGGATGTCTCGGGGGGTAATGATACCGACGAGCTTGGAGCGGAGGGTGCCGTTCTCTATAGTCAACTGTCAGCGAATGCATTTCGACAAAATTGAAAAAGCGTAGCGTTTGTGAGGCATTTCAGATACATTTTCTCCACAGTACGACGGAATCGTTGCGGATGAACGAAAGTTAAATTGAAAAGGTAATCATCATAAAGCAAACACGGGGATAAGAGTGTAGAGTCTGACTTACCAGTGACTGGGAAACCACCGAAGCCCCACCTCTCCTTCAGTGCCTTGGCCTCTCCGACTGTGGTGTTGGGGGAGATGACGACGGGGTCCAGGATGAAGCCGTTTTCGAAGCGCTTAACCTTGCGGACCATCTCGGCCTGGTCGTCCTGAGAGCAGTTGTGGTGGATCACACCGAGACCTCCAAGAAGGGCAATGTGGATCGCCATGTTGTGCTCGGTGACAGTGTCCATGGGCGAGGAGACAAAGGGCGTCTTGAGCGAAATGCGCTTTGTGATTGGGGTGTCGAGGGCGACTTCGGCGGCAGGGAAGCCAATGTAGCCAGGAAGCATGAGGAAGTCATTGTATGTGAGACCGCCGTTCTTCTTGGAGTCGATGAGCGTCTTGATGTCGATGCCATCGCGCTCAGGGTACTCGTTCTTGAGGATCTCAAGAGCCTTGGTGTAGTCCAAGGCGTCGGCGGCCGTGTTGGTCATGGCGTCACCGTTGGAGATGGGCATGATGGGTAGAAAAGAAACTTCTCAGAGACTTAAGAAGGGTAAGAGGGGTATCACGGAAGGAAACAGGCCGTCGTGCTCAGCAAAAGACTCTGGCCGGGGAAAGTTGAGGGCTTTCCCAAGAAGAAAAAAGTTGGAAGAAACTGGCGGCGCGGAAAGAATTTCTGTGGGCTCCTTCGCCAAGGCTCCTGCTTCAGGTGACCCCGCCTTTTAGCGCGACGACGACGCGTCCGAAGGGGGATCGATGTGCAGGCAGTACTGCAGTCGACATATACTGCTGTACACTGTATGCGCGAAAGACGCATATCAACATATGCTGGACATGTCAACAATAGTCGCAGTCGTCGGGCTTTTGTTTAAGGTACGACGTTCTCATTAGCAATAGCATCTAGTGCATTCCATTCTTACCTCGTTAGCACACTCACGTGGTGGGCGCGACGTTTGGACTTGCACGGTACCGACTGGGAGCTCCCATATAATGACAGGTCGACGAGTCGATAATTGGACGTATCCAAGGGGTGCGCTAGGCTAAGGTTCAGGTTCAGGACGCGATAGCTCACCGTGCGAGCTGTAGTAAGGCTGTCGCCGTTGATGGCGCCGACGTCCTTGTCGCCCTGCTATTCAGGCATCATGGCCGCGACGCGTACATGGGTTTCCGGGATAGTCGATGGATAGGATGTGATGGTGAAGTGAAGTGGTCGGCTCGTCCAAACATGGCGACTCAGCAGCAACAAAACACGGTAGACGCAACAGTGATGCAGCACTAGGATGTTGTTTTGAGGGATTCCCGGTCCGTGTGACGGGAGTCGGGATGGATGATTTTCGCGGCTGGAGATGGGTTTCTTGGGGTGGTTGGCGCGACAACAGGCCGGCAAGCCCTCGCAGCCTGAGTAAACATCCGCAAAAGCTTGGACGACACACGTCCGCTTCCAGTTTCAACGCCGCTGCCTTTCATCTACTATACCCAATTTCCCTTTCCCGATTCCCATTCCTCTTCGCCCGTGCAGAGTAAAAGTGCGCGCTTGGTCGCAGGGCTTTAGACTGTCGCTTGATCTCCTTCGCGATTTTTGTTTTCGGCGGCAGGCGCATCCATATCTCTTGTAATTATCGCGGGCCTCCATGACGGTCTCTTGAGCCCCGACGCCAACGCCATCACCATCTTCCTTTGTCCTGTACGACGCATGCGGTGTAGGACTGGGTCGCAGTAACGCCCTCGACTGTCGCGCTCGCCATGAGTTACCTGACTGCCCCACGCTCGAGACCAGGCCACTCGGCAACATCGCCCTCCCCGCTCCGCCAGACATCGACCGCATCCAATGGCTCCTCCAACCACTCGAACCAGTACCCGCCGAGCCGCTCCAGCACGCAGTCGAGCAATGCCTCCAGCGGCTTCGGCTCGCTGTCGCACCGGCGCGGGCTGAGCGAGGCGACTGCCCTCTCGCGCCCGCGCACAGAGGACTACTTCGGCTCGGGCGAGACAGACCCTTCAGACACGTTCATGAGCATGCGGAAAGCGCTGCGACCGCTGCAGCAGGCACCTGCGAACCCGCCCTCGCCCGAGAAGCAGAGCCCGTCGTCACCTGACAAGTACATGCGACCGACGACGCCCGTCTACCCGCCATCGCCCGAAAAGCTCCTACGCCCAGCAACATTCTCGAATCCACCATCGCCAGAGAAGCTCCTCCGCCCCGCGAGTGCTAGCCCGACCCGAAGCTCCAGCCACCTGCGATCACATAGTGTCGAAAACCTCTACGCCCCATACGATGGCTCCACCTCGCCGACAGCCAAACCGCGCCCGCTATCGCTAGCAGTATCGCGGAACGACTCCGTACGCGCGCCCACCCGCGACCACTCGTCCCGACCGCTGTCGACTCACCTGGAACGTCCGGAACTTAAGAGCTTCCAGAAGTCATCCACGGGACATCTACGAACTCTATCCAAGTTCGCCGAGGCTGGAAGCGATGAGGACTTCGCCATCAAGTCCCCGGAGCAGCAGGTCGTGGGTCTCAACGGACGGAGAAGGTTGCAGCGGCTAGAAACACCACAAAAGACGGCGTCCACTTGGTCAAGTCGGAATTGGATGGACCAACAGCGCCAGTTCTTGCAGGCCTACGAATATCTCTGTCATATCGGAGAAGCCAAGGAGTGGATGGAAGACATCATCGAGACGGACCTCCCGCCTGTTGTTGAACTGGAGGAGGCACTGCGAAACGGCATAACACTAGCAGAGATTGTTCAGTCAATCAAAGGACAACCGCTGCGCATATTCCGCGACCCGAAGCTACAGTACCGGCACTCTAACAACTACGCGCACTTCTTCAAGTTCCTATCCGAAGTCGAACTCCCCGATCTCTTCCGCTTCGAACTGGTCGATCTCTACGAGAAGAAGAACGTGCCCAAGGTCATCTACTGTATCCACGCGCTCTCATGGCTTCTGTACCGAAAAGGCATTGTCGACTTCCGAATTGGCAATCTAGTCGGTAAACTCCAGTTCGAGGACCACGAGTTGGAGGCTACACAAAAAGGTCTTGACAAGTCTGGTGTTAGTATGCCCAACTTCTCAGGCATGCAAGCCAACTTCCAAGTCGAGCCGGAACCGGAGCCAGAGCCAGAGCCAGTGGAGTCTGAGGAAGACCGCATCGACCGCGAGCTTGGCGAGAACGAGGACATCATATTAGATCTTCAGGCCCAGATGCGCGGTGCTCTCGTCCGAATTCGCCTCGGAATGGTGATGCAGGAGCTCTGGGACCATGAGCACCTCATCGTGGATTTGCAGGCACGCATCCGTGGTGATTGGGCTCGACAAATCTCCACCTACCGCATGGACATGCGCCGTTTCGCAGTTACTCTACAAGGTGCAGCGAGAGGATTCCTGGTCCGATCGAGGCTCCAGGGTGAAGAACAGTTTTGGCACGCCAATGAGGCCCAGGTGTTGAAGGTGCAGAACCTGTTCCGTGGGCGCAAGGCCAGAGCGCAAGTTCAGTACACCAAATCGAAGATCGAGCGACACGAACACGGCATACGGCAATTCCAAGCAGCCATCCGAGGAGCGCTTGAACGACTACGCGTGTCCGACCGATACGAACAAACCCGCGATACCGAACCATCCGTTATGCATGTACAGGCTATGATTCGTGGCGCTCTTCTACGCCAGCAAGTCGATCGGGAATGGGCTGAGCTACAACAGAACGAACCTGAGGTCGCGCAACTCCAAGCCGTCGCAAGAGCAATGCGTGTCCGCCAGTCACTGCGTGCCGATCAGGAAGGTCTTCGTCAACACGAATCTATGATTACAATGTTGCAGTCAACTGCCCGAGGTCTTCTTGCTAGGAAGAAGGACGCCGCAATGCAGAAGAAGCTGGTAAGCACGAATGTCAATTGGTCTGGTCTTCAGTCCCAAGTTCGCGCCAATGTCTTGAGAACCTCTGTCAGGCAGATCCACGAGGCGCTTCAAGCCGAAGTACCTCAGATCACCGATTTACAAGCTGTCGCAAGGGGTGGCACCATGCGTGCAGAGATCACTGAGATCCTCACGCTTCTGCACGAACAAGAAGACAACGTTCTTTCGCTTCAGTCACACATTCGCGGTTTCCTTTCGCGACAGAAGCACTTTTCTGATCTCAAGGCACTTCAGGCGCAAGAACCCACCATTCTAGACCTCCAATCGGCTTGCCGAGGCTTCATGCAACGCCAACGGACCTACGAGACTCTTTGCGAGCTCAATGCTCAAGAGCCCGAAACCGTCGATCTTCAGGCCGTGGCACGTGGTATGCTACTCAGAATGCAAATCGGTATGCAGCTTGGTCAAGTGGAAGAGCATGAAGATGCGATTGTTGAACTACAGACCCTGGCGCGCGGTTTGATGATCCGCCAGAAGTTTGCAGAGAAGCAGCAGTTCTACAAAGAGAATATGGAGAAGGTTATCAAAGTGCAGAGCTTCATCCGTGGTCGTCAACAAGGTGAAGCCTACAAGAGCTTGACCAGTGGCACAAACCCTCCAGTGTCGACTGTCAAGAACTTTGTGCATCTTCTTAACGACAACGACATCGACTTTGATGAGGAGATTGGTAAGTCGCTCTTTAATTACCATAGTCATGTTTTACTAACGGAATGTCAGAGTTCGAGCGTCTTCGCAAGACTGTAGTACAGCATGTGCGCCAGAACGAGCTCGCCGAGCAGTACGTCGATCAACTGGACATCAAGATTGCGCTTCTCGTAAAGAACAAGATCACCCTTGACGAGGTCGTCAAGCACCAGAAGCACTTCGGTGGCAACGTCGGCACCCTACTCAGCAGCAAGGACATCTCGTCAAAGGACCCCTTCGATCTCAAAGCACTCAACAAGAACTCGCGCCGGAAGCTGGAGCAGTATCAGGAGCTTTTCTTCGTTCTGCAGACGCAGCCTCAGTACATGGCGAGACTCTTCAGGCGCGTTCGTGAACAAAATCTCGCAGAGGGTGACATCAAGCGCATCGAGCAGCTGACCATGAGTATGTTTGGTTTGGCCCAGAAACGCAGAGAAGAGTACTGGCTGTTGAAGCTGCTCACAAGATCGCTGAAGGAGGAGATTGAGGGCTGTGCGAACCTCCATGAGTACCTTCGTGGCAACTTCTTCTGGTCCAAACTGTTCGCCAACTACGTCCGGTCACCGCGAGACCGAAAGTTCCTCAAAGATGTTCTTGGAACTGTCATTCGTGAGAATATCATTGAGAATGAGCACCTGGACCTGGAGAGCGACCCGATGCAGATCTATCGTTCCGCCATCAACAACGAGGAGCTCCGTACCGGCCAGAGTAGTCGTCGCGACCCGAATGTCTCGCGAGATGTAGCACTCAAGGACCCCGAGACACGTGGTACTTTCATTCACAACCTGCAAGATCTTCGCGATGTTGCTGACCAGTACTTTACGATGTTCGAAGAGGTACTCCACCGGATGCCATATGGTGTAAGGTACATCGCACAGCAGATGTTCGAAGAACTACGCTTGAAGTTCCCCTACGAGGC